GGTAACAGTTCTTCTTTAAATGTTTTATAAAATTCACTTGTAAAACCATCTGGTCCAGGGCTTTTCTTGGTTGGAAGTTGTTGTATTGCCTTGGACAAATACTTAGAAAAACACAACCTACCTAAACTGACACAAACCGAAACTGAACATCTGAACAGACCCATTACAAAAGAAGAAATTGCTCTTAAATTTTTCTATTCTTACTGGGATGAGATGCTATCTCATAGTTGTTTTGATTTGCATCTCTCTTAGAGCTAGGGATTTTGAACATTTCTTCATCTATTTATTGGTAATCTGAATGTCTTCTTTGGTGAAGTGTCTGCTCATATCCTGTGCCCATTTTTCAATTGGGTTATTTACCTTTATCTTGTTTTGGTGCTCGAGTATTTTATAAATTCTAGATCTAAGTCCCTTATCTGATATGTGATTACCAAATATTTTTTCCAAATCTGTGGCTTCCCTTTTTACTCTATTGGAGGTTTTTTTAGATGTGCATAGGGATTTGATTCTTAGAATGTCCCATTCATCTATTTTATCCTCTCCTGGTTATAGATTTTTTCAGGATGCTTGGAAAACTGACATTTTTACAGAGGTAGTTTTTGCCCTCTGCTGGTGGTTCGATGTTTCTGCACCATATACCTTTGAAAATAGTTTTCAACATGAGCAGTTAAGATGAAGCTGAGTATGTGGATTAGTTATACATTCCTATTTTATATTTTTAAAAAATTGTAGTTATTAGATTATTTTATTTTTCATTTAAAATTCATGTCTGAAAGTTTTTTCTTATTTCAAATCCTTTCCTATATCTATCACATAATTTGGAAGCTTTTCTAATTCTATTTTGTTTGTTTTATGACATGTAGTTTTCCTGATGTGTTTAGATTGCCTGCAATGGACAGGCATGTCCAATGATATATTTCTTAAGTGCTTTCATTACCTCTGGGGATGTTATTTCTAATCCTTATTCTCTTTTTTCCTTATGATAACTGTGAATGGGGTTTGATGTTGATACTATTCATTGTTTATTTTAGAAAAAATCATTTCCCTGAACTTTTTAGAAGGAGGATTAGTTCAGAATAGTTTACTGATGCCTCTGTTATAATTTTTATTGTTTTTCCGTAGTATTAAAAAACTATGGCTAGCTGTGGGATTTTCCTGGTTTTAGTTTCTCACCCTAATTTTACTGGGACCTTTTCTTTGTGACCTCAATTCTAAATTTTTATTCCCAGCACCTTTTTCTTACTTCTGGTTTCAGTCCCAGAAGGGAGTCCTACCTGGTCTGTTTTAAGAGCTAATAAGACATGGACTGCTTCTGCTCCTAATGACCAATTCCTAGGGCTGCTGTAACAAAGCCTCATGAACTAGGCAGCTGAAACAGAAACTTGTTCTCTCACAGCTCTGGAAGTCAAAAGAGAGATGTAGCCAAGGCAATATTCCTTCTAGGCCAGTATCCTTTGTCACCTATCCTACCTTCTAGTGATTTCCAGAAATCCTTGAAGCTCCTTAGCTCATAACGGCATCATTTAGTCTCAAGTTCCATCTGCATGTGACTTTTCTCCCTCTGTGTGTCTCTGGTTTTGTGGGAGTATTTTTGGTAAATATATAAATCATTTGGATTTAGGACTCACTCTAATACAGTAAGACTTCATCTTTACTTCATTATACCTATTTCAAATAAGGTCACTGTCACACAAAGTACCAGGAGTTAGGACTTACACATATCTTTACGGGAGACAAAAGGTCACTACAAGACCTCACCTCTCCTGCTATGAATGTGGACAACATTTTTTCTAGTGTTACCAGCTGTTCTTTCATTGGCACTCTGCTTTCCAGTAAATGCTGACAGTCTGGGGTCCCAGTCTCAGATCTGTCAGGTGACTGACTCGCTTTCTCCTCCTGCTTTCTTCCTCACAAGTGGTGAGACTGTGTTGGTTTTGAAGGTCTTAAGTTTTTGTGCCCAACCTACTTGTATTTTATTATTTGTGAGAATCCTTTGTTCTCTCTTTGCTGAAAAAGGTATTCTTATACTTCTAGTTTTCCTGTCCAGTTGCTCTGTCATTTTTATGTGGGAAGATTTCGGAACTGTGCTATCACTACTACTATCTTCCCAGAGCCCCTCTTGGCTTATTTTAAGAGATTACTCTTCCTATGTGAAGCAAAGATGGTGAGGTATTAAAGACAAAGGCCAAAGCAGGGAGACAAGTTAGGAGGGAGTTAAAAAATGCAGTGATAGATGGTAGAAATTGGGGCTGGGGTGGAAGCAGGCATAGAGGTGGTGAGAACTTGCTGGATTCTGGATGCATTTTAAATTTAGAGCCAACAAGACATGATGGTGGATTGGATGTGTTATACACAAGAATGGAGTCAAAGATTAAATTTTTTTAACTTAGTGTTATGTTCCATAGTCTCCTGTGTACTTTACCTCGTACATAGTGACCCAGTCTCATCATCTCTGACAGACCTAATCCCATCCATCTCATCCTGGAGTTTCTTCTCCTGTGCTGTACCTCCACCCTTCTGAGCATGATGTCCTTCTCCAAGGACGCCCAAAGTATGTGAGACAGAGCTTCAAAATCCTTGCCTTCAGGGAGCAGCTTGGTTTTCCCTCTCCAGGACAGACCTGTTTGTTTTCCTAGAAGTCCACAGTATGTTCAACACTCTTCTCCAGCACCACAGCTCAAAGGCACTGATTATTTTTCTATCAACCTTAGTAAGCATTGTCAAGCTCTGGAATGAATAGCAAGTAATTGCAAAGACCATGGCCTATATCAGGTACACCTTAGACTCCAGACTGACATTGTGCAATTTGTCTTTGAGCAACTGAAATAATTAAGTTCCCATTTGCTAAAATTGAAAGATTGCAGGAGAGTTTTCTACACACCCCCACCCCATTTATTTGTACGGAGAACACAGGAGCTTGGTTTTGGAGTGGTAAAGTTGAAATTGCATATTAGATATGCAAGTGGGGATGTGAAGTAGGTAGTTGCTTCAAGGGAACTGGAATTTGGAAAGAAATCTGGACTAGAGAGCCACATTTGGGTAGAAATGCATGGTACTTACCATGATGGAACAGCTTGAGATCTTTTCAAGAACAAGTGAAGGTAGAGAAGAGATATGAAGAACAAACCTTGAGGAGGTGTTAACAGTGGGAAGCCAATTTCTGTACATTTTAGCATCTTCCTTCTTTCATACCAAAGTTTTAACTCGAATATTGAAATTGCATACAACTAATTCCTAAAAAAGTTAAAGAAGAGAGGCCAAGGTCAAGGATCTTTCTTAAAACAGGTACGAAGAACTTGCATGTTCAAGATCATTTTCCAGTTCCTTCTGGTATGTATTACTGTTCTACAGAGACTAGAATGTTCTACACTACATTTCCCAGCCCCCTTAGCACCTAGGTGTCATGATTTAGAATCCACCAACTAGATTTAAATGGGACTTGAATTCAGCATTCACGGGAGGGGAGGCAGGGCATATGCCATCCATTTTGCTGGTGCAGATGGTAGCATATGTTTTTATGTGTAGTGCTATGGCGATGACAACAGTGCACCAGGTTGAGAGGTTTAGATTGGTTTTCTTCTCCAGCTCTCCAAATTATTCTGCAACCTGCTCTATATTCTGTAGTAGTTACCCTCCTGCTTGCACTTGCTAGATTGAGTTCTGTTCTCCACACCTAAACTCCAATTGATGAACTCCCTCCATGGGCTTGGTGTTCTCTGTTCTCTGTGTGTGGTATACATGTGTGAATAAACTCACTGATGGGCAGTAAGTGTAGTGTGTGTGTTAGTGTGTGGTGTGTACTTCCGTATTTAGTGTCAAGAAAGAAGCTGCATTTGACCTCTGGAAGGGTAATTATAGTATGCCCCCTATTAGCAGAAAATGAAGAGGATGACTTGAATGTGAAAATCTTGACCTCCAAGTTCCAGAGCCAGCCCAGCGATGCTGTACACATCTTCTGTGGCCAGGATGTTGGATTGGTGTGGCCCTGGAAGTCTCTTCCAAATACTGGAACCTTAGAGGTTCGTGGGCACCGCCTGCGGGGCCAGTACTCACCCCCCAACTACCAGCAGCTGCAGGAGGACCTTGACGTTAACCCTCAAATCCAGCAGTCAATGAGTATCCTGCAGGTCCTAATGGAGGTGAGGACACAGGTTTGAGGTGCGGAATGAGACCTGATTCCCACACAAGGCACCTCTTCCCTAAGCTCCTTGTCTGCTTCTAGGATATGCTAAAGGAGGTGCAGGAATTCTGCGGAAAATGTCACTGGATAACGGGCATTTTTGAGTTCGTGCAAGCCTGGGGGCCTCAGCAGCTGGAAGCCATGAGAGGCTCCTCCATCAAGGAGTATGCGGCCTTGGTGAGCAACCTGAATGCATGGAAGGACCTTGTCTCTACCATGCCAACCGAGTTGATTACAAAAGGCAAGCTGCTGCTGCTGAGCTGCCTTGAAGTGCAGACGGAGATGGGTGAGTGCTGGTATCCCTTCCCTCTCTTCCTCTTTCCTAACCTCTAGCCACATGGTCCCCCTTGGGTCTGAAAATGTTCCTCAGGAACTTTTGGCTCAAGACTGTCACTGGACCCACGGAGCCACCTAAAATTCCATTTCCCAACCTCTTTCTTACCTTTACAGTCTAAAGTCTATGTGGTCACTACAGAGGACAGCCCATTTGCCAGTTATTCCTTATGTTGTTGTTTACCATTGAGTTGGAACCCACCCATAGCTTACCCTGTGATGGGTTTTCAGAGGCAGTTAATCACAAGGGAGGAGACTGTCCATCCTTCTTCCACAGAGCGTCTGATGAACTTGAACCACTTGCCTTCAGGATTGCAGCACAGCTTCTTGCCATTAGGCCACCAGAGCTCCCTATATTCCTTAGGGATGATGTTTCTGCTATGTGACATTTTATATCCGTATGGTACAAAAATAGTTTAAATCATATATGTTTGAAAATCTCCTTAGCCTGTTCCATAGGTTATTGGGATCATATTCTGTACAGAGATTTGGGGGAGCCTAGGATGCTGCACTCCCCACAGGTAGCAGAGTCTAACTTTATAATCTGGATGAGTAAAAAGTTGAGATTGCCTTTAAATGCTCTTGTCTTGATCTGTAGTCCTAACTTCTGTTGATATTGTTGTTATGTGCTGGCGAGTCACCTTGACTCACAGCAATCGTATGTACAACAAACAGCTCTGAACCTTGCCTTATCCTGAGCCAATCTTATCATCTCTGACAAACCTGATCCCATTCCTCCACTCACTAATCAATCCATCTCATCCTGGGTTTTTCTCTCCTGCACTGTCCCTCCACCCTTCCAAGCATTATGTCCTCCAAGAACTGGTCCTTACTGGCCATGTGCTCAAAGTATGTGAGACAGAGCTTCAGAATCCTTGCCTCTAGGGACCAGCCTAGTTTCACCTCTCCAGGCCAGACTATTTGTTCTCCTGGCAGTCCATGGTATGTTCAACACTATTTACAGCACAACTCAAAGACATTGAACCTTCTTCTATCATCCTTAGTCACTGTCCAACTCTGGGATGCATAACAAATAATTGTGAAGTCCATGGCCTGTATCAGGTATACCTTAGTCTCCAGACTGACACTGTTGCTCTTCAGTACTCTACAGAGGTCCCTGACAGCAGACTTTCCTAATGCAATTCATCATTGATTTCCTGACTGCTGGTACCAAGATTGTTGAGAAATACATAGCATTCTTAATTGAAGAGAGCACTTTTCATTTAAATAGTCACATTGGGTCTTATTTAATCTATGCTGAGTGTTTATCAAACAAAAATTCACACTACAGTTCTGGGTGGGTTTGATTTTCTGCTTCTTTTCCTTCCTAAGGTGGCACCTGACAGTGGGTGAGGAAAGAAGTCTGTGTGCTCTTCTTTGCTTGCCCCTGTGACCCTCATTGTGGTGTCATGCATCCTAACCTGGTCTCAGCCTTCCTGACATTACTGCTTCAGGTTCTGATGGGTCCTGAGCTACTCTAGCAAGCTTGTGTTCACTTAGCCTAACACCTCAGTTTCCCAAGAATCTCTGCAGAAAGTGAGCTCAATCACCTCTGGAACAGGCTCAGAATTTCAGTCCTGTATGGTAGTCCTGGGCTGCTCTACCTGGATTGTGTTCCCTTGGCCTAGGAGCTCAGAGGGTCTCCCTTTGCTGACTTGACCTCACATTGGCTTCTGCTGCCATTGCAGATCTTAGAGGAGTTAGTGAATCTTTTTATCTTGTCAATCTTAAATTATCTCACATCCTGTGCTTTATGGCCCTTTATTTTTCAACCCAAGAACGCTTTCTACCTACTGACTACCAACTCTTGGCATGCTTCTTCATTCTTTGCCATCTGGGCACTGTGGGAGACCTGGTGCATTATTTTTTACCTTTCTGCCACAACATATCACACCATCTCCTCTGTTGTGACTATCTCATGCTAGCACAAGAGCATACCACAAAGTAGTCACACACAACCACGGATTTCAGAGAAATTTGGTTTGAAACCTTTGTGTCTCTTTCTCCCTTCCCATGGGAATAAGGTCTCCTGTTGTTGTGTACTAGCTAGCTAAGAGGCTCAGACCAGGGAGTGGACTTGGAGAGATGTAAAGTGGAATAGACTTGGAAGCCAGTGGTTTGTTATCTGAGAAAACAGAGAGGTTATGTGATTTCCTCACTAATCCTCTTGGCCTGCAGCACCAATCCTATCCACTTCCTATAAAGACTAGATACAATAGAGCCACTGCCCACCTCCCTCCCTCAAGAACCTGATAAAGAAAACAACTATGAGATATCATCTCACCCCAGACAGAAGAGCAAAATTTAACAGAACAGCAATCAATAAGTTCTGGGAAGGTTGTGTAAAAACTGGAACCCTTATTCACTGTTGGTGGGAGTGTAAAATGGTGCAAGCACTTTGGAAGGTGGTATGGCACTTTCTCAAAAAGTTGCAAATAGAGATACTACTTGACCCAGAAATTCCACAACTGAGAATATACCCCAGAGAGACCATAACTGACATCCAAGCAGATATATGCACACCATGTTTCTTTCGGCTTTGTTCACAATAGCAAGGAGTTGGAAACAACCTAAGTGCCCATCAGCAAATGAGTGCATAGAGAAGCTGTGGTATATTCACACAATGGAATACTATGCTGCATTGAAAAACAAGGAACTCATGCAATATTATTCAAAATGGGTGACCCTGGAGGAC